GCACAAATCATCAATTATACAAAAGAAAATAGGACTTGCCTGCGGATCTTCCTGGCGGGCTGGTTAAACCAAGTGGCCACTCGTCTCTGCCAGTCCTTGTGGAAATGAGGCTTCAAGATCATGCCATTCCTGCTGGGGGCCATGGCTGCTTAATCCCTGAGGAAGGAAAAACAGAAATTCATTAATAGGACTATTAATGGCGGCAAAGGTAACCAAAACTGACCTATTCCAGAGCCATTTACTAGGGATGCTCCGGGACTAGTATCCGTACCTTGTATTTGGGCGAGTACTCTTACGCGTCCAAATGCTCCTGATGCCTATCCCGATACCGGATCTTCTGGTATCAGGAAGACAGGTGGAGGGTCATTACACAGTGCCCGGCTTCCTGATTGGCCGGGAAGCTGGCCACACGCTCCCTCGTCACCAGGGAGCTGGCTTCTTGATTGGCCAGAAAGCCGGCTCCATGCTCAGTCACCTGGTGACGAAAGAAGCATGGATCCGGCTTTCTGGCCAATCAGGAAGCCGGCCACCATGTAATGACTCACCACCCGGGATCCTGATTGGTCGGGAAGCTTGAACATAAGGAAGCCAGCTCCATGCTTCCTCATCACCTAGTAATGGAGCATGGAGACTGCTTTCCAGCAGGGAGTCATTACACGCCGCCTGGCTTCCAGTATCGGCGAGTACCGAAAAAAAGAATATTGGTACTTTACAAAAAAAACGGTATCTGTGCATCCCTACCATTTACGAAGGAAAATATCTGCACAGCTATGAATGTCGCACCAGATATTGATGCGGCCCACAGCAAAACAAAATAAGACCACTTCATGGGACCCGGCCAGAATGCTGGTACCTGTCACAGCTGAGAAAGCAGCTACTGACCATGGAAGCAACGCATGCTCCCAAACAAGAGGTTCTGCTCCAAGACTTTGCTCACTTTGAGAAGTCAGATGTTGTCATACACAAGAGGGGAACCTGAGCTTTGACAAGCCGCCGATATCACGACAGGCCGCATTGAACACGTATTGGCTAGAACATAGTGTTTCAATGTTGGCCTCCCCACTCCCCCAGTAAAGCCGGCACTGTCTTCAAAGCCTTCCTACCCAAAACTCTCAAAAACACCCTCATAGGACATCATCCTAAGACCTTGCACATGCGCAGCCCACTTTAGCGTGTGCCCAGTGAAACCAAGAAGAGTGCCATGCTGGAGATAGGTCACATCATATTGCCAAGGGGCCCTACTGGCCTTAGCATGGCTATGGAAGCCGAGAATGAGAGCAAGCAAGCACAGGCAACATTGCAAATATCCGTAACACAGCAATATACCAGCATGGGGAAGAAGATAGATCAGTATGGGGCCGACTATAACAAGGGATTACGGTGGCTATGTAGAGCTTACTTCCCCTTTAAGAGGGATTGCAGCTGCAGATTGCATCGTGCATGGGCAGATTAGGACATGGACTATTGTGGAGGAAAGGGGGACAGATGGACCTGGGCTCTCAGGCTAGGAACTAAGACTAACATATTTAGGCCTTCAATATAAATACATACATACATGAAGAAGGATACACATTCCCTGTGACTGGGGCCCCACACGACCTCCGGGGCCCCATAGTAGCTGTCAAAGCACATTTGCCATACCCGCCCCGGCTCCCATTGCACAAGCCATACACCACACTGCCGGCCAGCAGCTCCATGGTACCGGGGAACCTTCCACAAACACATCAAACCCGAGCCAATCCCCAAAATTAAACCCTCCCAGGAGAGCCGGCGTCAACACCCCAGCGACACCTTCCCGGTAAGAGCAACGTAGGAGAAGGATGGAGGCGGATAACTCCGAATAAGGCCGAGAATCTCTCCAACATACCTCTACGGGGGGGAAATGGCCGAAAAGAAAAGGCAGAAGCTTCGCGCTGCATTATGGGATATCAGCGACTCAGGCCAATTCAGAGCGAGGGATCGGTTCAGCCAATCAGCGATGTGCAGAGGAAAAGGTTTACTTCCGCCCGGAGTTGCGGCGTGAAACGTGCCAGCAGTAAACATGGGCGGGCTTCGTACGCAGTCCCCCTGTGCAAGCTAATGCAATGTAAGCAGTAGACAAAATATGACAACTGGGCAGCTTAAAGGAGACATGCTCCGACAAAAGTGTTGTTGACTTCCTCCTGAAGCTAAGACACTTTTGTACACACCGCCATGTGTCTGGTGGTGAGCATGCTTCCTCCTAGGTGACCCTCCTAATTATTTTGAAATGTCAGAAGCTATGCTAAGACATATATCACTAAAGAGAACCTGTCATTCAATCTGGATTAAAAGGCTACCGCAACAAACCATGAGTGCGACTTGCAGTGCGATGTAGCGACACCATTATTTAAAATGGCGCCCTAACAAAACCATGCCGCGCCTCTTCGCAATAAGGAATTGCTGTGCTTTGTGGTGCTGTGTGTCTGGAAAAATTAAGCATATCAGTCTTCCTCTGTGTTGGCAGCTCCCAACGTCCCGTGATCTCCTGCCTGACGTGATCTCCTGCCCTGCAGAGGGGACAGTCAGAGCGAGCGAGTGGTGCGGGGTACAGCTTTAGGAAAGTGTCCTCTGAACACCAATGGTAATACTAGCAGCCTCCTGTAGTTCTCTGCTTTTCTCTGTCTCCTCCCACCCAGGAGGGGGGTTTCTCTTCGGGAGATCCCCCCTGCTTAGTACTGTGAGGGACCTGTTTCGGCACCTTGAGCCCCTGACTGAGACATACAGAATGAAAGCTTGTTTTCTCCAGTCTCACCCACTGCATGCTTGTTCTGCATTACTGGCTCAGTGTTTATCGAAGTGACAAAGCCAGGCACCGAGCATTTTCAGGAGGTAGTCATCAGATCCCAAAACAAGTTGTTACACTCCCTTTTGTCCTGTGTTCAACTTGCAGCTCTCATGCTGTTTAGGAACATGTCCCAGTATAGATTTAGCGTGTAGGTGTCTAATAGTGCCTGCAGCATTTTTGCAGATTGCACTGGACCGGAACGCAGGCATTAATGCACCATGCGTTGGGGGCTGCAGTGCCATTGGCTTTAAATGCACCGCGCCTGAACACAGGGAGCCGGTCGGTTTGTGTTCCAGTGCGTTTCAGAGGCCCAACGCTCTGGAATGCAGTCTTTGTGGTGTGAAACGGGCTTTAAACCACAAGCATACACACAGAGCTGAATTATCAGTATTAGGAGGGCTAAGCTATGTGGCAAGAACATGAAGTTAGCCATTTCGGAAACCTTTAAGGGAAACCAATAGAGTTTGTTCCAGATAAAGTTTTAATCACAATCTTCGGCCCTTGTTGGTTGCTCTGCAAGCGCCAATGCAAAAAATAATAAATACACATTTATTTTCAGTCATCAGTGTGTGTGCATTTTTGAATTTTTTTTTGTAAATGGTGGACTATGCCTTTAAGGTCAATAAACATAGAAGCCTTTTTTATAATGGCAGCAGTAGAGGGGGTGGAGTCTAGTGAGGGATGTGTTCAAAAGAATGTTTCCTGACGCCAATCCATGGCAGCATACAAAAGGGGTATGGCTCCGCCCCCCACCCAATCACAGGACCAGTTATACTATAAATTAAAGCCCGCCTCCCAAGGCCACCATTCTTTTTTCTGTCCTCACTGCTCAAGCCAGTTATACTAAGGATATGTTGGAGTTTTTTGCCCTCACCTTGCCGGTTTCTTCTGGCCTGCCGCACAGGTTCAGCCTCTCCTGTTGCGAAGTTCCCTTTGTTCAGGTGGCTAAATGCAGTCTTATAAGGGAAGCCTCCCCCATAGCTTTGGGGTGCAGGAAATGGTCTCTTGGGGTCTCTCCATGTGCGGATGCTTCCTCCATCATGGCGGCAGGTTGAACACCTGCTTAGCCTCCTGGCCTGGTGACTCCAGAGAAGAACCGTGACTCAGCTGCATCATCACAAACTATGGTTGTACTGTGATGATCACATGCATGGACATGATGACAAGTAGGATCCACTCCATTTTCTTTCAATGAGTTTGTTTCAGTAATACATGTGCTGCTATTTCCTATGGCTTTGCAGTGCTGCTTTGCTCTGGCTGAATCTTTCTGCATATTTTTTTTTTTAATGTTTGTAGAGCCATTCAGTTTTCCATGTGCTCCCAACTTTGTGGGAACAGTTTGGGGATGGCCCTTCCTGTTCCAACATGACCACGCACCAGTGCACAAAGCAAGGTCCATAAAGACATGGATGGGGGAGTTTGAGGTGGAGGAACTTGACTGGCCTGCACAGAGTCCTGACCTCAACCCGATAGAACACCTGTGGGAGGCATTAGAGCGGAGACTGCGAGCCCGGCCTTCTCCTCCAACATCAGTACCTGACCTCACAAATGGTCCAACATTCCCATAGACACACCCCTAAACCTTGTGGACTCCTTCCCAGAAGAGTTGAAGCTGTTATAGCGGAGCCAACCCAATATTGCACCCTACGGACTAAGACTGGAACGCCATTAAAGTTCATGTGCGTGTAAAGACCGGCGTCCCAATATTTTTGCCAATATAGTGTATGTAATATCTGTGTATCTAGGTGTTTAGAGATCAGCTTTAGGTTGGCCACATAATCTGATTGTGCAATCTCAGATTTACCAATGAATCCCTCAATTTATATTCCCTCAAGTAGGCCCTCACACTATATGTGTGTTAGAGAATAGAAAGAAGATTGTGCAATCAGATTGTAACATGAGTGGCCGGCTTTAGAATGGTTTCTGGTAGCCATTTTGTCTGTTAATATATGGACTTCATGTCTTGAGGGATCACCTATGGCACCTAGTATAAACTACTTGGTGGGACCAGGAGGATGCAGCAAAGAGAAGAACTGAGAAAAGAAGCATAATTCAGTATAACAAAGTAAAAGCATATACACATCTTACAACACAAATAGAAAACATTTTAATGGTAAACTTGTTTTTATATAATATTAGCAATATTGATCGGTCAGATCGTTCTACATTTGGCCAAGAATATACACAGCAAAGAATCAGCAGTCTACTGTGGCATCAGCCATTATTGGTGGACTCTGATCACATGGTCAGTACATTGTATGAAGCCGGGTTCCTCCTCGCAGCTCTCACACTGGGCTTAGGTTTGTGTCATTTTCCAGGTCTTTTGGAGGTGGTGGCCTGCGCGGCTCCTCCTCTCCAGTGTCTTGTTTGTCCTTCTCGGCCTCAATCCAGCTCTGTGGCGCGATAATTTTCTTAGGTCCATGTGGAGGAGGACCGATCAGCTCTTCGATGTCGCTGTAATTAATAACTTCACGCTCCAGTAGGGCATCGGCCAACTGAGAACAAACAATTATGAAACGTCTTAGCACAAAATGGTGACAGGTCATATCTCCTGATTTCTTAAAAAAGAATCCCAGCTCCCGATTTGCCCAAACTCTGATATAGGCCACACCCATTTATAAGCACCCCAGATTACCCCCCAAAAAAGAGTGAGGCTTTCAGGACTTATTCACACCAGATCATCTCCAGACCAGATTGTTTCCGGACCCAAAATGTATCGCTATGCTATTCCTGGCCTCTGTTCAAACCAGCGCAGTCCGTTCCAGACCAGACCCAAAAAATACTGCAGGTCTCATTTTGTCTGGTCTGGAATGTACTGAAACTGCGGGCAGGTTCACACCATTTTGCGGACCAGACCTGGTCCACAAAAAAATGGTGTAAGCCTGCTCTCAGGTCTGTACTGTTCAATGGACCCAATGAGACAAGACATCACAACTAAAACTGGCCATACTGGGTTTTTTTAAATTTGAAAGCTAAAAATCCAAGCTGTGTGGCCCGGCCGGCACCATTCACTTCAAAAATAGACGATTTGTCAATCAACTTTTGTTGAAGAAGCCAATAAATTGTCAAACAGTAACTGCAGCCAATCATTTGTCAGAATACAATAGCCTGATGGGAGATTCCTCCATCCAGTGTTTAGTGTAAATGGAGTAATAAAGTGCTTTTTCTTGTTGGGGCTGAACGAGGGAAACAAAATGCTAAGTGTGTGGCCAGTTTTGATAATCTGTTGCCTAGTATCTCCCTAATCATGTAATAAAGACAATGGCTAGCAATACCCTTTCCCTCCCCCATTGGTTGTGAGAACTGGCCTTGGAACTGCCTGCAATGGTGTGGCTACAAGCTCTATGGCACCAATTCCCACCCATCCACCAGCCCCAACCTGCCCAATTACAATGTTCATTGGTCACCCAGGTATTCTCAAATGTCAGGGGAGGAGCAGGGGGAAACGTTTATGGAAGAGTATTCTCAAACAGTGCACAGGAGGGGGTTTTCTAGACAAGAGAGATGATGGCGGACACCTTGTCCTTTCTCTAAAGCACCAATATTCATTTTAAATAGAGTAGAGGACAGGGTCGCTATAAGGGCTCATTTATGAGGCCTGTAGGGGGTGCAGAAGGCCCTTGTTTATGCACCCGGGCATCACTGGTTTTCCTTGCAGCCGCAGCCTGTTAAAAATCAAGGCTGACTCATGGAGCAGCTACAAACACATCCAATCATACATATGCGATTAGGGACAGATACGTGGCCCTGGATACAGACAGACTGTGTCCAGGACCTTGCATCCATCCCTGTATGCATGTACACACTCAGGAGTTTGGAAGATCTGTTTAGCAGCTGCATATATCAGCCTGTCAAATTTTAACAAGCTGCTGCTTGCGGATGCAAAGAAGACCAGTGACCTCCGGCCCGGGCGCATAAACAAGGGCCTTCTGCATGCTGTATGGGCCTCAGCCCTCGTGTAAATGAGCTCTAAGAAACATATACAAATATGACAGAAGCCCATACTGCCCAATTAAATCAAATGTTATACTTTGCAGTCATTTTAAAAATGAAAACGGACAATGCAAGATGGCTTTTTCTTTGTTATTCAGGAAAAAAAGAAAAACCCAAAAAACAAATCCATGTGCCCCTCTGAAACTAGTACTAGAGGTCTGAATTCCAAGACCAAGCCCTGCTGACTGCTGTATCCCTGTCAAAGTGCTTATGTGGCCAATAAAGACACTTTCACTGGACAGGGGAATTGGGGCTGAAGACAGATCTCTAGTAATAAACTGAAATTAGTTTCAGAGAGGCACACAGAAGAGGGTTTTCTGTGTAAACAAACTAGCAGCAGCCTCTTTGTAGTGAGCGCTCTTAGGAAGGGCTTTTCCCTGAAAATAACTAACAGTTTCACTTTATAACAGAAAAAAAATGAACCCAAGAAAAACCCCTTTACCGGCTGATTCCAAAGGCAACGGGGTGTTTTGGACTCTATGGGCTGACAACTAGCTGAGACAGCCTGGTCTGCTGGAAGATTCCCCTGCTGTGCGGTGGTTGGCCCAAGGGCCGCATTTAGTATGAATGAGGTAGACTTCTGTATTGTTAGACATCAGACAGGTCCATGCACAGTTCACTCAGCCTGCAGTTATTGATTATTGGTATTTATATAGGGCGGACAATTTTGAAGTGTCGCTTTACATAGTTGCACATCATGGGAAGTGATCTACATCACCCCCATTCATTCATAATTGTAGTTATAGTAAACAACAATGTTATCAATGAACAGGAACACTCGATTCCTGTTCATTGATAACAGGGGATACAGAAAAAGAGATTGAGGACTCTGTGTTCTCAATCTCTTTTTCTATTTTAAAAGGGAAATATTGGCGGTCTGTTTAGACCCCTAATATTTCCCCAAGTAAAAAAAATACAAATATTTAATAAAAAATTGATTAATAAAAATAATTATTGTGCGGCCCTACTTATCCAGAGAAGAAGGCTGTCTCAGCTGGTTGACAGGCAATGGGATCCGTGAGGACCAACCTAACTTTTATCAATGCCATCCTTGGGCGTATGACACCCCCTTCCTAGCTTCCCCATGAACTCCGATAAGGGTTGCTCTCTCTGATCAAGGCTTTTATTCACTTATATGCTCCTTTTACCTCTATAGAACAATTCTATTACATTTAACGGGAGTAATTTTTAAACCAGAATGGGATCGGTTGCTGAAGACCATTAATATGTATGACAGTGAGGAATAAAACCTAAACACGATACATGACCAGAACTTGACACTCACCAGCTGTAATTTGTCCTTGTTAGCCAGCAGTAGTTTCTCTGTGCTCTTGTAAGCCGAGGCCACCAGCTGCTGAGCTTCCTGAACCGAAAAATGAAAAAGATTAGGGATGGCATGCTTGAAGAGATGCTCTTAAAGGAAATATGTAAGCATTCATAGGTGCTGCCACTGGTGACTTAATTCCCCCCTCCCAAAAAAAAGCATCAATTAATTCAGTAATGTGTTCAGTAAGAAAATGATTACATACAGTGGGGCAAAAAAGTATTTAGTCAGCCACCAATTGTGCAAGTTCTCCCACTTAAAAAGATGAGTTCGGCCTGTAATTGGCATCATAGGTAGACCTCAACTACGAGAGACAAAATGAGAAAACAAATCCAGACAAATCACATCGGCTGATTTGGAACAAATTTATTTGCAAATTATGGTGGAAAATAAGTATTTGGTCACCTACAAACAAGCAAGAGTTCTGGCTCTCACAGACCTGTACCTTCTTCTTTAAGAGGCTCCTCTGTCCTGCACTCATTACCTGTATCAATGGCACCTGTTTGAACTTGTTATCAGTATAAAAGCCCCCTGTCCACAACCTCAAACAGTCACACTCCAAACTCCACTATGGTGAAGACCAAAGAGCTGTCGAAGGACACCAGAAACAAAATTGTAGACCTGCACCAGGCTGGGAAGACTGAATCTGCAATAGGCAAGCAGCTTGGTGTGAACAAATCAACTGTGGGAGCAATAATTAGAAAATGGAAGACATACAAGACCACTGATAATCTCCCTCGATCTGGGGACCCACGCAAGATCTCACCCCGTGGGGTCAAAATGATCACAAGAACGGTGAGCAAAAATCCCAGGACCACACGGGGGGACCTAGTCAATGAACTGCAGATAATTACAGGCCGAACTCATCTTTTTAAGTGGGAGAACTTGCACAATTGGTGGCTGACTAAATACTTTTTTGCCCAACTGTATGTTTTTAAATGAACCCATTGTAAGAAGATGATTTTTTTTTTTTACATCAGCATCCAGTAATTCACAACACATCATCACTTAGACCCCATTCACACTGAGCGTTTTGTAGTGCGATTCAGCTCCAAAATCGCTCAAATATCAGCTCAATGTCGCTCAATGTAGCTTGTCCAATGCATTTCAATGGAGCTGTTCACATCTCAATGTCGCCTGTAGCTTGAACATGACCTATTTTTTGGCGGATTTTGTGCGATGTGGCCCAATAGAATTTAAAGTCGCAGATCATTGTCGCGCTACAGAAGTGTCACTTTTGCACAGAAATATAAGAAGGAAGGAATGATGTCACATCAAGACCGCTGTTGATTTGTTACAGCCCAATGAAGCAGCTACGAAGTCCCTGCGAAAAGTCGCGCTACGTAGCGCAACAAAATGTGCACTGTAGCTCAATATCGCTCAGCTCAAAATCACACTGAAAAAAGCACTTTTCTGGATGTAGCTCAGTGTGAATGGGGTCTTAGACTGGAAGGGTGAGGCGCAGCACCAGCAGCCAATCGGGCAGTACTGAGGTGCACATATGCCGAAAGGAACATGCCAACCGCAGGAGAGAGGAAAAGTGATGATCTCATTGGTGTGCTGCTGCTCTTTTATTGGCCAGTTGGCAGGCTGGAGTATGTGCACAATTGTAATGCTGTCAAGTACCTGGCATGGATGCCCTAATCACAGGACTACACACGGTGTGCCTACTGCCTGGACATGAATGCTGGAGTGGTACAAGTGCACATAATCTTTCATGGGTCACCTAACAAAAATATTGTTCAGTGGCTGAATTAGGTCAGCAGATTACAGACAAAAGGGTAATGGGGGGGGTCCTCATGTGTTCTCAATACATTGATACTCACATAATCCATCATTTCCTGAAGCCCCTGGCTGAATGGTCGTCTCCCGATGCCGGTTTTCTCACCATCTGGAAATGACACTTGTCCGATGCTGGCCACCATGCCGTAATGTTTCACCATGTCATAAGCCACCTTAGTCACCTTCCTCAGGTCATCTTGAGCTCCTGTATAACATAAGCAGCCAGTCACATGATACACATTTCTGATACCACACAGATCCTAAGCAATCCATAAAGGTTCTCACATATCTGCTAATTACTGGAAAAGAAAGACTAAATCTACTGATCATCTGTGTCTGAGGGAGGGGTCACTCTGCAATTTTCCCACACTTGAACAACGTTTGGTCACTATGGAAAAATCCTATCACACATTTATCAGTGGTGCGTGTATATTGTCCTGGGACTTTTCCTTTTGGCCCTTACATGATCTGGAAGTTCCGCAAAGTGTGCAAAACAAACTAACTATAGATATACTGTGTGCATAGAAGGTCGAATCTGTCACAGAAAACCTTGAGAAACTGATATCACATAACAGAATTGTTTTAAACAAGCCATTTTCCAATTTAATACTTGTAGTTTTGGCTCACTTCCTGTCCTAGGGTGATCTTCAAAAATCAAATTCCAGTGGACTGCAAATGTCCAGTGTTATCCGAAATAAGCAAGGAATCATAAAAAAAGCTGAACTCTGGCCTTCCCTACAGTCTTACCCAGTTGTACCGGTTCCTCTCCTGTTCTGAAATTGCTTACTCTCATAACACCGCACACTGTGAGACTCTCACAATGTCCATTCGAAGTCAGGTAGAGCTGGCCTCATTTTCTGGCTGGAGGGCATCCAGCATCATCTAGCCTTCACAGCCTGACCTGTCCCTCCTGTTTATCTGAATTGAGATGTTTCAATTATTGAGGCTCACCTAGACCTGGCTAGGAATGCCCATTCCCCCAAACTAACATCCATTAAGGCATTTTGATGTTGGCCTAACACTGCATGCATCAGAGCTGAGGGCATTTTAGAGGAGTACTGCGGCAGGGTGCTGTGATTTATTCAGGAAACTATGTACAGCACCGTGCTGGCAACCGGCATGATCTGCCTGCATTGCATAGAGGAGCACAGATGTCCCTGGGTTAGTAATGAGGTCACTGTGTCTAAAAACAAGGTAAGTAAGGAAAATGGAAAAGATTTAAAAATGTCATTAGCATGTTGATTGGGGGGACGACGACCAGGGATGGCCAAATATTGGCAAATTAAACTCCAGGCTTTAAGGCTTATTCATACAGCAATGATCTCGTCATAGTATTTCAGCCCAGGGAAATAGCAGTTTAACAGATGACATTTCCCATGGAATGACAAATTGGCTTTTGAAATAATGGCACACATACCGGTTGTGGCCTTGTTGAAGGTGATGACCTCGGCTACTCTGCCGCCTAGTGCCATACACATCCGCTCACACAACTGTTCCTTGGTGAACAGATACTGTTCCCTCGGCAAGATCTGAGCAAACCCCAGTGCTGCATTGGTTCTTGGAGCGATAGAAACCTGCAGAAAGAGAGCACACGATCAGGTCCACGTTCATGCAGGTCACAAATGTACCAACAATAATCCACAATACATTTGAATAAAAGAACTACAACACAACACATTAGGCATTCATCTTTATCCATCAATGAACATCCACCATTGCTGCTTAAAGGGTATGTCCAAGCATTGCTCAAATTTACCCCCAAACCTCCCTCTCCCACTCTACAGCGTGCCCCAGCATTATTTATTTCCATTTAATTTGCTTCTATAGCAAGAAACCGCTATTACTGCTCCCTGTGATGTCATCACCACGCTTGTAAAATTCTTGCAGGGGAAGCTGCTGGCAGCTCAGTTTCTGTTGATGTAGTTATACCCCCAGAACTACATCTCACAAAGCCATTTCCCTACACAGAGTGTGTGGGCAGGCTCTTGGGAGTTGATCCAGCAGCACTGACTGTTTTGTGTGAAAAAAAAAATCAATATGTAGAGTAAGGACAGAGATAAGAATAGTTCTGTAGTCTAGTAGACAGGACTGGCAATGCTAGAATTGAGAGCTGCAGAGGCAACTTGTCATCAGCCAAAACAGGAAATTAGGAGCACACTCTGATCTCTTCTTTTGTCAGCACACACTGTATCAGAGCCTGAGTGGTTCCTAGTTCTGGTCCTCCATCTCTCAGTCTAAGTGCTGCTGTACTGGGCTTTAAAGGTGAGAGATACCAAGAAATACAATGTACACCAACTGCATTTAAAAAACATCAAATGTTTTCCTGAATACATAACTGTCTTAGATATTGTAAAACACTAACAGTCTGTAGCTCAGCTTTAAGATGGAATACATGTCCTCACCTTCATCACTGCTTCAGTGTTTTCTAGCAACCACCCTACCAGGGCATGTCCAGACTCATGATACGCCACCACACGCCTCTCCTCCTTTGACATGATCTTGCTTTTCTTGACAGTACCTGCATTTAAAAAAAAACAAAAAACAGTACAGAAGCTCTATTAATGTTTACCGCAATAGCATCCCTGCTTGCTGGACTACAGAATTCCCCCCATCCCTCTCTGTCAAACTCCACCTGCATACATTGATTTCTCTCCCATCAAAACAACGCTGCTGCCTTAACTTCCAAAAGCCAGCCTACACACTGAGTATAGGGGAAAGGCTCTTGGATACACCGAGTATAGGGGAAAGGCTCTTGGATACACTGAGTATAGGGGAAAGGCTCTTGGGAGTGCGTCTAAATCAGTAGGAAATGAGCTTCCAGCAGCTGACCCTGCAAGAATTTTACAAGCCTGCTGAATATGTCACAGGGAGTAATAAAAGGAACAGGGTAAAGGAAATAAAAATGCTAGGACATGATCTTGGGGGGGTTACATTTAAATAAGAGAGATGGACAACATGCAGCTGCACCTTGCCTGTACTCAGCACACTTTATCCTGCCCATCAGTACTGAGTAAGCCTTTGGCACCACCCTGACAACTTTGATTGACAGCACGCGTAGAGGGGAGGACTGCAGACAGCATTCAGAGCCAGGCAGTGGTCAAGTAATCAATTAAGCTGACGGACGTTCTAACCCCTCAGCACTATATCCAAATGCAAAAGTAAAAAGATAAAAAAAAAGGCTGGAGTTGGATGTTTAATTGATGATGTTATGTGCATTCGGTATTATTATTCTGTTTTCATAACTCTTTATGTAACTAAATATTAGCACAGTAGCAAATAAAACAGAAAAATATTGATCGTTTATGTGCACATTTTCCAATATACAGTAGAGGTGTTTAGCCAGCAGATGCATAGATAGTTCATAGTGATCCCTTACTACCGTATTTGCCGGCGTATAAGACGGGTTTTTAAACTTAAAAACATCCCCCGAAAATCGGGGGTCGTCTTATACGCAGGGTATGGATGTACATAGTACAAATCTTCCGGGTTCCGTCAGTATACTGCGCTGAGCCAATCACGGCAGGCTTTGCATTCATGAATACAAAGCCTGCTGTGATTGGCTCAGCGCGGTATACTGATGGAACCCGGAAGACGGAGGACACAGCGGGGATCGCGAACAATGCAAGAGACTGTAATCCCGAGTGTGGCTCGGGGTTACCGCTTATGGTACTGAAAATTAACCCCGAGCCACACTCAGGAATACCGCCATGGAGGTTAGTGTGTGTATTCAAACATTATTTTGGGCTATACTCTTCTTATACAACGAGTATAGCCCAAAACCTATGTTTTAACATAAAAAGTAGGGGGTCGTCTTATACGCCGGCAAATATGGTACTTCTAAAAACTAAAAGTACAGCTGTATTCATAATGACCATTTAACATTACAGATGAGCAAATAATGAAAATCTGCTGAACCGTCCTGGGAACTTTCATTTCAGCTTGTGTAATACGGAATTATTAAATGCACTTTAAAGACTTTACAACAGTCCTCTAAAAAAGAAGCCAGTTTCTCTTTCACAAAAGTAGGGTTGCACAGATACCAAGTACAGTACTCGGTACAAGTACGAATACATGTACCGAAACTTTTGAGCTCCAAGACTACACTAGAGAAAAATTCAAAAGTTAGGAGGCCGCTGTCATTTTGTAAGGAGCATACGGAGCTCCCGGGATTTGTACATCTCGGTTTTAATGTATGATTTTGTTTTTATAAATATAAATAAAGGGATGCACAGATACCAGTTTTGCGAGTACGAGTACTGGTACTTGCCGAGTACTTACAAGTACGAGTACTGATACATTTTTGTTTATTGTCATGTGCCAGTTTTTCTAAAACAATACAGACTAATGATTTCAGGACAGTGGTGGAGCGCCAGAGCCGGGTCCCAGCTGCAACCGCTGCAACCCTGGTAGTTTCATGAAAATGCCAAGTATCGGCACTGGTACTCGAAAAGTATCTGTGCATCCCTACACAAAAGGTTTTATCAAATGAGAAACATATCGATAATCATAATAACGAATGCTTTTATTCTGTTCTCGATCAATATGTTCACAAATATTTATACACTTATATAAAAATTGTGATGCTTTTAATTCTTACCTGCGATCACTCGCTCCACAGCATACTCGAAGTTGGAGGTGTGTACTGATAGATGGCCTTCTCGAGCAGCATGGAGAGCCGCCTCGTTACAAATATTAGCAATATCTGCTCCTAAAAGGGAAAGGAGTGTTTGCAATTAGAGGTGCACCGAAATGAAAATTTTAAAACCAAAATGAAGAGAGTCCTCAATCTCTTTTTTTCTGCAGCGCGTTATAAATGAACACAAATCCTCTATACTGAGTGTTCCTGTTCATTCATAACATGTGGACAGAGTGTGTTTACTATAACCACAATCATGAATGAACAGGAGGTGATGTAGATCACTTCCCATTCATTCATAATTGTGGATACATAATGAAACATACCATGTCCTCAATTATTTACAAACACTCAGCGATCACTGATCAATGAGTGTTTGTACCGCTCTCCTTCTTGACATGCTGTCACAGGAGGCTGAGCGAGCGGTGCGGGGAGGAGAGCTCGATCTGACTCCTCCCCCGCTGGCCTCCTTCCTGTGACAGCGCTGGCTGTCTCCGCCCACACAGCCGCTCTCCTTTCATCTGCGACATGAGGGCAGCCGGCCGCTCACAGCGCTCTCCTCCCGCAGCGCTCGGCCGCCTGTGACATTTTCTCTCCTCCCCGCTGGTACACCGAGCAGCAACCAGCGGGGAGGAGAGTAAGCAGAGATGCATCGCTATATTGGTAGAATTTTTTTACATTTTGCTAAAAGTGCCATTTTCGGCCGATATATCGGTGCATCCCTATTAGCAATTACAATTTAAATGGGGGAGTCCACCTAAAAGTGGCCCCTTCTTCGGGACGCAGAAGCGATCTGGCGACAGGTAAGTCGCCAGGATCGCTTCTGTTGTAAAGCCGACAGTCGGCTCTACAAGTTTAAACAGACTCCCGGCGGCAAAAGTCGCCGGGAGTCTGTTTAAACAGCCCCGATGCTGGCGACGTACACTGTACGTCGTCAGTCACGAAGGGGTTAAATTACAGGAAGATTCTGGTGGGCCGATGTCTCCCACTAACTCATCATTGCTTTTGGGGATTCCAGTGGCGAGATCTTGCTGCCAGTTTCTGGCTCTATTGCAGCTCATCGCAGAGTTTTGGGGGTTCCTGCTCACCTCTGGGGGTTCACACTCCTTGACATAAAATAATTTCTACATTAAATGACAGACTCTCTCAATGGCTGCAATATTTGTGCAAACGTGACAAATAAAGGGCAAAAATATCTCTACCAGATTCACCAAAGAACGGGTTTAACTTTCCAGCATCATCCAAAACAATTAGCTTTTATCAAACTGCCATTTGTTTTTAGTCTTTAAAGTGATCCTCGGGCCAGGCTATGGACATTGTCTTACCAAGTAGAAAATGGGCCATCAAACAAGCTCTCTCTGACATATGTAGCCGCAGGTGCTGTGGAGCAGTTCATCAAAGTTCACAGCAGAAGTATTACTGGCATCATTCAAGTTGTCTCTGCAGCTCAGCTCCCCCTTCCAGATCACTCGGTGGTGGTGGAGTTAGTGGGTGCAAGGGGAGTTGAGCTGTTGAGCGATATACTTAAATGATGTCAGTGCTTCTTCTATGAACGTGGAAGTTCCACAGCACCCACAGCTACAGAGGTCAGTTAGGACTTGTTTTAAACCTGGTTTACTGCTTGTCAATAACATCAAAATACTTAAATGTCTATAGCCTAGCCATAAGTTTCTTTTGAAAAAGGATTTGATAGGGATGGCAAACGTACCACTGAATCCAGGCGTAAGTTCTGCCAGACGCTGGGAGTAAAAGTTCCCAGGCTGTGTCAGCTTCAGGCCCTTTAGGTGCTGCTCAAAAATCTCTCTTCTCTCCTGGAACACAAAGCAGAACTCTCCATCAATCAACAGCCACAAAGCCTGTACAGCGAATATAGACATAAGGTGCAATTACACAAATCAGCCTCACCTGTAATGTGGGGAGATCGATGAAGATATGTCTGTCCAGTCTTCCCGGCCGCATCAATGCGTTGTCCAGGACGTCAGCCCTGTTGGTGGAGGCGAGCACTATCACATGATCAGTGGTACCCATACCTGCCAGAGAGATTAGAAGACATTGACATTAAAGGCCAAGCTTGCCCAAAACTAAATCAATCAATCTGCTCTGGTTGGGGACCACTGGTCTGAATCACCTGCTCATTTATTTTTGTATAGCCCTCACATACATTAAAGATGAGGTTTCCCATGGTAGTTTGCCTCCACCCACAAGACCATTACAATATGTAATTTACTGAAATTACAGGCGTTCCCTGCCCCCTTTGTGATGTATAGCTGTGGGGCTCCCTGCAACTGATTGGGAAGGCAGTCAGCGTTTTGAGCGGGCTTGGGCACAAAGCATAGGCTCATTGCTATTTGCCAATAGATCATTCGCATAAAGCACGTTATTGGCTGTGGTTTTAGGTACATGGTCCTATAGCAGTTTATACACAAAAAAGGTGTACAATGGGTGGAAACAAAAAAAAAAAAAAATACACATGATCATTAACTACAAGGTATCTGAGGAGAATCACATCAGTGTAATTTGAACATGATGTCATCTCACCATCCATCTCTACCAGCAGCTGGTTCAAGGTTTGTTCCTCCTCGGTGTTGGAGAAAGTAGCCATGTTTGTGGACCTTTTCTTTCCTACTGCATCAATCTCATCAATGTAAACAATGCAGGGAGCTCGGGATCGAGCTTCTTTGAAGAGGCTGCGCATACGGGCTGCACCTAGGCCTGATGGGACAGGGGGGACAAGAACGCTTACACATTCACAATAAGTTAAAATGGACCTCAACCCTAACTGATGTTCAGTTCCCTGAAGAACTGTGCATTATTAACAATTGCCATGGTTTTACAGTTGCTCTTTAGGGTGAAATAGGAAATTCCTTTTCAAAGGTTTTAATGTATTTTTTTATTTAATAAACATGTAATAGAGATCGGCCTAATGTATATAGACTTATCGATGTGTAAAAACCTGTTTCTAGGTTTAATCTTTATTTATACTTATACATGGGGGCAACTTTATTTGCTCATTACATATACAGGTCCTGCCTCCTGATTTGTATTGCTCCTTTAGGCTCTGTTCACACCTAGGCGTATCGAATATGCGCGTTTCGTGACGCGCGTTTTTACCACGATTTGCGGTAACAAAAATGCACGACAAACGCGCGTTTCCGAGGGCTTCTTGGCTGTATCCCAATGGAAACGCGAGACAAAAACGCCACAAAGAAGCTCATGTACCTTTTCAGGCGTAGGCCGTTTTTTAGCGCGTTCAGACGGGCTGAAATACGGCAAGGTGTGAACCATGCCCATAGAAAACAATGGGATTTTCATGTTTGAGCGTTTTGTAGAACGTTGAACGCGCTAAAAAACGTACAGGTGTGAACCAGGCCTAATGGTTGTACGTTCCACTTTCATGATGAGTCAGCTGACTTACTGAAAACAATGCACTCCTTGCATGGCGGATATCTTATCAGTTGTTAAGAGAGAGATATCACAGAGTCAATGAGAGCTCCCTGTAATTGCTAGTATACAAATCTCTATTTTTCAATCAGTATATGCAAGCTTGCAGAAATGTCAAATCCATATTAAAAATAAATATTAAAACTGAACTCTGGGATAAAAGCTAAATTCACAAATAAAATACATAGAAGGGAAATGTTTTACCTTTGAAAAGAATTTGTATTTTTGTCCATTCAGTCTTGAGATTGACACAGCTCCACCACACAACACAGCCATATCTGGGAGAGCAGGAGACCTAATTTTCACTTTCCGCAGTCCAGCAACACTGACAGGTCTAGTCCCTCCCCCAGCCTGTGACTGGACATTGAAAGCAGAAGCAGCACACTGATGAGCTTATCTCTGTCATTCTGCTCTCTCGTCCTATGAGCATGTTCCTTGTTAGCACATAAGCACTGCAGCTTATCTTATTATTAATTTATTCGAGTTCTGCTTTAAGGTAAACATTGCAATAATAACTCAAAAATACAGTGGGGGGAATTTATCAGAAGTGGAGCAGACAGAATCTGGAGCACTGGCTTATGGCAACCAATCAGCTGCTCTCTTTTATTTTCAAAGCTAAACTGAACAAACTAAAGAGAAAAGCTGATTGGTTGCCATGGGAAACTGCTCCAGATTCTGTCTGCTCCACTTTTGATAAATTCTCCCTAGTATATTTTCCCCTTTTAGCTCTCATTCACACGACTAACAGCCGGCCTGTACAGATCCGTGCTGTGTGCACAGCTGTATCGGGCCGCTCCCAGGAAGGACAGGTGCTGCGTGTGATTTGTACACAGCAGCCTGTTCTTCTCTATGGGAGTACGTGGCTGCACGCTCACCCAAACTGCACATCCGTGCGGGTGCCTGTACTCGTACACAGACAGGATGGATCCCGTCTGCGTCCGAGCAGGGACAACTGCACGGACGTGCAGTTGGGGTGAGTGTACGGCGGTGGCGTACGGCCGCATACTCCCATACAAATCACACGCAGCACCTGTCCTTCCGGGAACGGCCCGATACAGCCGTGCACGCAGTATGGATCTGTACAGGCCGGGTGTTAGTCGTGTGAATGAGGGCTAACAAGTCACCATTGAACTCTGGGTATGTACACAAACATTATAATTTGCAGCCACTAGATGGCGGCCTCTATATGTAAAATAACCCTCCCTGGACATAGGCAGTGTTATGGGTCCATACCGACTCCTTCTCCCCAGTACCGCTGGAGTCAGACATACCTCTATGCATTCATACAGCCAGCTTCTGCTCCACATGCATACTGCACACATGACACAGTGCATCCAAAAAAGAAAAGCCATGCCCACATGTGGTCCGTTAGTGGCATTTGGTGTAAAGGTTCATGAAACTGCCTGTCGGTAAGGGGCCTAATGGAATGTGAAGCATAAACAGTAGAGACTGACAAATGTGTCATTTTATATAATCAAATAATTACTCTTTAAAAAGGATAAGTCCACCGAAAAAGGATATATTATAATGTAGCCGTGTTTTGCCTTATCTTTCATGTTTTATTAAAACAATGGGTATTGTTTTGGGGCATTTAAAAGGAGAACTATGAGATGAGTAATTTCCACTCACCTCATAGTTCTAGCCGATCTGTGACAATGAGACTGTCACAAGTCGGCTCAGTAGATCGGGAGGTGAGAGAACACATACCGGGTTCGCTCACCTCTCGATCCTGTCACGGCTCTCTATCGTGACAGGGGGAGGGCTGGATTCCCCTCTCCCCGCTCCGATCTGCCAGCGCTGACTGGCGGAACGGACGGGGGAGGGGGCGGGTACAGCTGGCTCTGCCTCTAGATAGCTGGCTCTGCCTGTCACTCACGCAGCTGGGCGGATCCCGTCATCTACGTCGGGATCCGCTCCGGCTGCGGCGTCTCAGTATACCGCGAGCTGTAGCTTGCGGTATACTGAGCTTAGGGTAACGGGAGGACGCTAGTTTGTGTCCTCCCGTTACCGTAAGGAGAACTATGGGTAAAAACACTGACCTCATAGTTCTCCTTTAAGTGCATTTTTCACATAATTTGGGGGTTTGATAAGGAGTTGCGCTAATATCGTGCAACATAAACATTTGCAACTGCCACCATTTTTTTTCTATAGGGTATTGGCTTTCAGAAAATATATAATGTTTGGGGGTTTTTAAGTAATTTTTAGGCCTAAAATGTTGAATATAACATGGGTGCACAAAATTGGAAGAAAAAAAAAGAAGGACTCAGTCATGAAGGGTTTAAATATAAATCCTGGCTTGGCGTTGGCCACTGTGGTTTTTCAGCACTGGGGCTCTGGGTGCCGTCCCCACCATGGATATTGTCTGAATGCAATTATGCCCTTCCTATGGATTCACCAGTCTATCCTGGGTCCACTTATTTTCTTTTTAACATAACAAAAGTACACAAATTAGTTAATCAACACTTAGTGCAACTTTATTCATGTTTTCAAAGGGTTAGAATTTAATCTCCATGGATGGAGGTTGAACGGCAAGTTGGCTATTCAGAGCTTTTTGGCAATTCAAAAAAAAGTATTACAATATATACAAATATAAAAAGTATAATAACAGGTTGTGCACACAGGAACTGAGGGTACAAACACACTCAGTGGCAGAGGAAGGGTGGTAGTTACCAAATTACAATGAGCTCTTGTTCTCTTACCTCCAATCACCTCCACAAATTCTGAGCCCGCTATTGCTAGGAAGGGCACCTGTGCTTCTGTCGCTACGGCCTTAGCGAGCAAAGTTTTACCACATCCTGGTGGCCCAAGAAGTAGTGAACCTTTAGGCACTTTAGCCCCCAAGTGTAGGTATCGCGCTGGATTCTACATAAAGTAATGAATGGAAGCGTACAAAGCATTAGCTGGAAGGTTCATACACATCAGGGGAATCCGGATTTGTTGGTGGAAGTGATGAAACAATACAGAAGAGACAGGCTGGCTCTGAGCTTGCTCCAGAACATTAAACAACACATGTGCAATTGATTTCAAACTACTAATATTCAGTATATGAAAACCCAAATCAATAAAATTTCAGAAAAACTGTAATGTGTCATCCACTTGAGCCAGGTGCCATTTTCAAATGGCATGGGGACTCAGTGGCTCTGGTGAGTCTCGGTTGGCATGTAGGCTGAAACTGCTGGCTGTCAGTGACAGTCGGCATCCAGCAGTAAGTCCAGGAGCTGAAAGAATCAACTCTTTCAGGGCTTTGGCTCTTCCTATACAGCACTCCATAGGAAGGCTTGTAGCAGAGGGCTGTACAATGCTTCTATAGTGTTTACATTGGAACTTATGCAAAGGTACAGCATTCCTCTGAGTGCAGAGGCTGAGGCGTTGCAGCTCAGTGCAGCCCCTGCCTGCAGCAATAGATCACTGCTATAGTAATCTTCCCCCCCCCCCCCATAACAAAAAAGTAAACAAAAATATGAAAATGGTAAAAATAGAATATGAATACACTGTATACACATACATAGAGTATATGAAATTAACGATCAGGTGGGATTGCAATGTCATCTTTAGGGCTGCAACAACTAATCGACTAAATCGATTATTGAAAAAGTTGTCAACGTTTTCAATCATCGATTAATCGGCTTCTGATTAGTTGGCCCTGTTCACGGCTCCACACACACTGAGCGCCGCACCTCATCCCCACCACACGCTCGCCACTGCCAGACCCGCCCACATCCACTTCTTTTCCCCGCGGCAGAGGGACGCGGGGAAAAGAAGTAAGGAGGAGCAGGTGCGGGGGGATGACAGCCACCGATCTCAGAAGCAAGTTGCTGGAAGACTGCTCGGGTAAGCCTGCACTTTCACACACATGGTGCTTTATAATGTATTGCTAGGATTTGTTGTATTCCTCTATAGCTGGTGGTATTCTGCATTGTGCTGTATAATGTGCTATTGATGGGATTTGTAGTCCTCCATAGCCGATGCCATTCTGCATTGATTGCTGTATAGATTTACACTTTCCATTTCACTCTATTGCAAACCACACTTTTTTTTTTTCTTTTTTACTTGCACTGCTCCAAGCTTGCTCCTGTGATGGACTACAAATCGCAATACAAACTAGTAGTCCATCACTGGAGCTATTTTTTTAAAATCCGATTAATCGAACTTGATAATCGGCTAACTAATCGATTTTGAAAATAATCGTTAGCTTGTTCAGAGACCTGCTCCTGTGAGGGACAGGTGCTGCATGTAATTGTGTGCAGCCACCTGTACCTCCCTATGGGAGGACGCGGCAGCACACGGTTGCAAACTGACCCAAACCTACACATGGGAGGTACAGACTGCTGCACACAATTATATGTAGCACCTTACCCTCCCAGAAGCAGGTCTCTGCACGGGCATGTAGGCTGTACCCCTCCCTTTTAGATTGTAAGCCCTTATGGGCAGGGCCCTCCTTACCATCTTGTCTTGAATTGTATTGTGATTGTAATGTCTTCCTTATATTGTAAAGCGTTGCGCAAACTGTTGGCGCCAAATAAATCCTGTATGATGATAATAATAATAATAATAATAATACGGATGTGCACCACTTGTCAATATTTTACTGCTGTGTGGCCCTGCTAGGGAGATTCATCCCTCTGATTTATTCTGGTGACCCAACAGAAAGTGAGAGGGGAATCCAAAATTTACAGAGGTCACCAGAGCAAGAAGTGATGTCAAATCTTAAATAGAGGTATAAAATGTGTAATCTTCCTCTTACCTTCAAATAATCCACAAATTCCTTCACTTCCATCTTAGCCTCATGCATCCCAGCAACGTCTTTAAAGCTGATTCCTTTCCCAGAAGCTCCATCTACAATGGTGAAACGAGCCATCTTTAGCTGGTTCTGAAAAGAAAATGAATGAGTCATTAAATGAATCTTAGGAAAATAAGGCTGAACCTTTCCAAATAGGATTATAAAGGTGGAGCGCACACAAGCCGAATAAGTGAGAAACACCCCAGGAATTATCGGGGCTCTTCCCTCATGGTGACCTTTGGCCTATTAGGTCTATGAAGGCCTGAACAAGTCTTCTAAGACCACCTTATATTACGGCACGTTAGGCTTAGCAGGGATGTGCAGTCTAGGCAGACAGAGCCTCACCTGCTATTATGGAAGAAAAAGCTGTCAGCTTCAAGTCTAAAGCAGACAGCTTATTCTCCATTTCAACTGGCTTCTAACAGGTTACCCGTCATGGGCGGAGTGCCGCCTGCTTATTACAGGTGGCGCTTTATCCGGCTATGTTAGGTTAGGGATGCCCGCTGCTGTGTAACCTAACACAGTAAGGCCAGAGCTACAACAGCCTCTGAATTGGAGTCAGAGGCTTGAGCTCTGTGGATGGTTTGGACCAATGGCAACGCATCATTGATCCTAGCCCTCTAAAAAAAAACCCACAAATAACACTGACAGCATCCATCTAGATGTCTCATCAGTGACGAGCAAGCAAGGGACAGGGAGGCTTCTCGCTCTCTCCTCCATACATAGCACAGTGATTGGGCCTGGGGCTCAGTGTGCAATAGCCTCACCACAACCCACCACATGTAGTTTTCAGTATCCACTATCCAGCATAAGGAAATGGATGATCCCTTCAATGGAATATTGTTCTAAGTTTAAAAATGCGACATCTTGCAGCACACTGGGTCCTTAGATGTGATGTCTGCATTCATTTTCATTTTTCAAGAAGTAAACCTTCTTCAAGTAGCAAAAAACTGTGCCTGTTCAGACAGCAGAGCTGTGGGAAGGACCCAGCAGGCCCCACCCCCTACAGGCCGCCTGCGCAAAACTATAGAAGAGGACGGAGACAAGGCCAGTCACCCTGCACAAGGAGAGAGAGCAGCAGTGACTGATACTGGAAGGTCCTGCACAGAGCCACAGTTACTGTACTGATCTGGAAAAAAAGACACAAATCACACTCCAATTTCAATAAGAATATACACTCTTCTTGTATTTAGACCATATCTGCTCATCCCAGCATTAAGCTTCAAGCATTGGATAGAGTAGGGAAGGATTATAACCTCTGTCAGGTATTTATTGTCATCTGTGTAACCACTAGGGAGATTGATCTTATCTATGTGTCCTGGTGACCATTACCAGAAACAATATAGGAAATGCAGAATTTTACAGTCACCACAACAGGAAAAGCGGCGGAAACCTTCCAATGGGGACACCTGTTGCAGCGACAACTGTCAAAGAAGGGATTTCCCCTTTATTTGCTTAGATTTCCTCTTACATCTTGTTGTGTCTCTGGGACAGGAAGTGAAGGGAAATCCCCTATACAGGACACAGACAACAACAAAAATATCTAACAGGTAGTTTTAAAACCAACCAATCACCAGGCTAATAAAGATACTCCAACCCCCTCAGTGCGTTTAAGTATACATTTTCATTCTTAAGCAGTTTTATACTCACCACCGTCCGCCGACTGTGTCCCTCTCCAACGCTGCTTCTGTGCATGATGACCCGTGATCCACTGTGCCCTCGCCAAGCTGTCACCTCTTTGTGACATTACTTCTGAAGCCTGTGGGGACCCCGTCCACTAGACTGCCGAAAGAAACTGCCCACGTCACCCAGACATTGAAGAAGAACCCTGCAGTGAAGAACATAGGAAACTCGGGACCCAGAGCGTCATGTGACTATGGATGTATGCTAGTAAATAGGGCTTTTTCTCACTTCCTGTTGCATCTCCGGGACAATATGTGAAGGGTAATCTCCACAATAGGAAAGAGCCAGCAATCAACAAACTGGAAAGAGCATTAATCCTTCCCGATTCTATTCAAAAGTAGCAAGAAAAAAAAAAAGGCTTGGCATACACTTTAATACATATTATTATGCCTGCAGGAGACCATGAACTAATACTACAGGATAGAAAACAGTAGACAGAGCAACATAAACTAGGTCCAAGATTATTATACTTACAAAAGCGCTGAAAGCTCCTTGGCGGCCTGTCAGTCCAGTTGCCCGCAAAATAACAATTAACAAGAAAACAAAAAAGAAAGCTAGGATGATGGAATACCAGAGCCTGTAAGGAGGAGAAGAGCAAAAAAATAAATAAGACAATTGAGGACAAGAAATGTGTAGGAATGCAACAATAACAAAATAAAATTCAAGACAAGCAAAAAAGACACACACAGGCTTAATAAGTAACACATGCAAAGAGTAACGCTAGAGAGCAAAAGTGCAGATAAAAGGTTATAGTTTACTGTACATGGATAACTGGAACCACTTTGATTGGTTAAGATGGGGACTGTGTCCAATTAAGACAATGCCAATTGTATCTACTGGGTCAGATTCATAGACATTTGTTAGATGTTTGCCTACAGATCTCCACAAAAGCAAAAAACTATTCTGAACATATCTAATTCCACATGATCAACACTTCAAAAGCCTGTAGGAAGTTGGTACCATATACTATGGGGCTGATTTACAACACGTTTGCCCAGCGCATGGCTCATTTCCTATGCTCCTCGGCCCATCTGGTGGTATTAAAGCTATTTTAACCTGCAATGCATTCAAGGAACTTTAAAGTTGGACTTGTACATATAGAGTCAGCTTAAATATTAAGCAGCTCTCCTTCGAACACCTTATATCATTTTAGATAAAGGTTTTCCTTTTAAAGGGAGTGGCTCGTAAAATGATATTTACAGTCTCGGTGCAATATATATATGTGTATATATATCTCTGTGTTTCTCTCTCTCTCTCGACACACACACACCAAAACCTTGAGGAATCCATGCTGTCGCTACAGTTTAATTAAAGGGTGTGGGAAAGCCAATAGACTCCACACAAATGTGATCCAACAAGAGGGATTCCGCACTTCACGTATCTTGCTCGCTTATATTCTTTATTTTTCAGTACAAAGCAGTGTACAGCATATACTACAGTTTCGGGTGTCCCCACCCTTCATCATCATCATCAGGTACAACAATACACTCACAAACACATATATTCAAGCAATTTGGGTTCTCCGCAGAGACATCCCTGGACAAGGGGTATAATTTGTATTATCATGTGTGGCTCAATATAAGCGACATCAAAACAAAGTGTGCAGGATATTGTATAGCTTTGAGTCTATCCAAAATGACTAATTTGTTTCCTGGGTGAACAAGTGGATGCTTGGTACCACTCTAGGCATCATGCAGCGGTAAAGTGTGCATTATCTGAGTAGCATGTCAGATCAACAGAAACCAGCACAATACTTGAGGAAGTAATATGATCAGACACTGACACTGATCTTGGGGATGATACAAATTTGGGGTACCTCTCTCATGCACCTTCTATTAATTGTGTAATGTGGCCAGTGCTATTCATTGGTGGGCATTGATAGAGATGTGAAGTCTTACAATATACAGACGATATAGATGGAATATGCATATGCTGGCAAAAGGAGGGTTTTTGGTTTATTGCTTACTAATCAAAATACATACGCCAGTGTTCTGATCAGTCGGCTATAAATTGTCGGATATCATGTTTTTCAATTTTGAGTACTTGATTTTATAGGTAAAGTACAAGAAAAAACATTTATTTCCCTGTAACTTTTTACTACAAATATTTGATAAATGATGCCAAAAGTCAGGCGACTTGCACGACTCTTTATTTTTCAGTACAGCTGATAGAAAGGAAGGACTCGCCGTACTTGTCATAGAAGCCAATGCGCCGGTATGTAACAGGGATCCGATCCATCGGAGAAATGTTTAAAGCGTCTTCTGCAGCACGCAGCTTTTCCTCAAGCCGGTCTATATTGGCAACTTTCATTCTGTGCATTCTGTACATGGTCTGTGTTGGAGAAACAAAGACAAGAACAGGATCATTATTTTAAATGCACGCTTCATTCAACAACACTGTCCACTGAGTTTATTTGATGTGTTTTCTCGCCTATATTAAAAGGCACCTCATAATGTCACAACTTTGAAATACAAATTTTACAAAGATTTGACACAACCCTAACCCATAAAAGCATTTAAAAACAAAGCAATCTTACCATACGAACACAAGAACATCTATTCAGAGACCATAACATACAGGGGTACAGGTACTCTTAAAAACTAGACCACACAGGGACTGGTGTACACACATGCACACACAGGTTGAACTTGATGGACCTGTGTTTTTATTCAACCTCAAATACTATGTAACTACCCTGTATTATTAGTCTAGAAACAACTTACCATTAATAGTGAACAATGTATCAATGTAGAAAATACTTGCATCTTATAACGTGAACCTGTGGTATGGACAGTCATGTATGTACATATTCTTAACAAGCAGTACATGAGCTTTACAACAAGTCCTCACTTACCTCCGTGGCTGCAGGAACCGTGAAACAATTCATCCTCAAAGCTCACAACATAGACACTAAATTTAAAGCTCATCTCCCCTTCCTTCCAATGACAGTGGGGTAAGTGATGTTCAGGAACCAACACCAACCAATTTCAGAGTCTCTGTTGGGATCTTTCAGGGTAAATTGCTCCATGGTGCCTACAGTTACATAGGTCAGTGAGCTTTTATTTTACAGCTCATTTAATATTATAATGTCCATAGCACGGTCACAGGTTCACGCTAGACCAACAACAAATATATTAATTGATCATCGAAAGCACATCCTTGGAATATTTCCACACAGTTAAGGCAACCTCTTCCGACCTTCCCAATATAACGTTGGTTCAGGAATTGTGCCAATTGTGCGCCAAAAAACCCAAACAGAATATAGTAGAATAAAGACTCATTTTACTTAAGCATATGGAGACATTGTACATTCTGGCTCTGGGAACGAGAGAGGCATTACCAGGTAGTAAACGGAAGGCATTTAAAGTGGAACTCCAGGATTTTTTTCAAATTAACCCCTGCTGTGGGGCTACCCATGCACTGCAAGGGTTAAGTGCTCAATTTGGTATAGGGATGAAAATAAGCTCACCTGATCCTCGGACCCGCCTGGCTGCTAGATCGCTTCCTGCAGCCTCTTCGACCCCAGTCTCCGACGGTCTATGAACCCGTGAAATCATCACGTCTAATAATGCAGGTCCAGCTGGAGCGGATGAGAGGTAATCGCTGACTGCCGCAGGACCGAGGATTGGGGCGAGCAGTATACCCGGAGTATATCTTATTTATTTTTGCCCCTAGACGATAACGAGCAGTTAACACTTGCAGTACAGGGGTAGCCCCACCGCATGGGTCAATTTGAAAAACCCAGAGTTCTTCTTTAATGAAGGTCCCACATGTTTCATGCCTAGGATGCCACCAATCCACATCACCCTTGGAGGTCAGTGCAATGTGCTATGACCTCCATGGCATTCTTTGCTGGATTATCCTGCTGTGTCAGCAGTCCTCCTAGCGTTGCCAGCAACTTTGACCCCCAGTACACTGTCTGAAATGCAGTATTTAGCCTCATAAGCTTCTATAAATCTGATTACTGTCATTTCATTCTTTTTAATAATCTGCAAAAGGTGAACTTACCCCTTAAAAACAAATACAATTGAAAATAATCTCAATATGCATTCTAAAACTCTTGGAATGGAGCAGCCCTACGCATAAGGCCTAAGTCTTTGTGCAAGCATTCATCTGAATTCTCTTCCACCTAAAAAAGTCATCGGTATGCCCCCTGGAAGCCGTCTCATCTCCTGCCTGAGCTCAGCATTAAAGTGAGACGCTCAATCTGAATTTCAAGCTAAAAAACGGTGAAACGTAGTTGCAGACAAAAGAGAATGAACAAAAAGGCTTTGTAATTCAAAAGCTGCGGCAACCAAGAAAAATAATCTGTTATGGACATTGAAGGCAGGAGATGTGGCAGCCTCTGTGGGGGGCTTCCAATTGACTTTTACACCCAATTACAAATGTACCACACTGCTGCTCACTAACATTATGAGGAGATATAGTAATTATGTGCCAGGAATTCATGTTTTATAGGGGTGCACCGATACTAGTATCGATATCTGTGCAGATACCAAGTATTTGGGCGAGTGCTCGTACCCGTCCAAATGCTACGATGTTTCCTGTATCAGGAAGTCGGGCAGCGTGTAATGACGCGCTGCGCGGCTTCCCGATTGGTCGGGAAGCTGGCCAATCAGGAAGCCATGTAATGACGCAGCACTCGGCATTCTGATTGGCCGGGAAGCCGGCTTCATGCTCCCTCGTCATCTCATGACGAGGGAGCATGGAGCCGGCCTCCCGGCCAATCAGAAAGCAGGGCGCCGCTTCCTTACATGGCGCCCGGCTTCCATGATTTGCCAGCAAGACGGCTCCGGCTGGGTACCGGAGGAAGGCCGCTCTTGGCTGGAGAGGCCCCGGAGGTGACAGGCTGGACAGCGCCGAGATGAGATGGGACAGACTTTCTTGCTAATCAGGAAGCCAGGCGGCGAGTCATTACACGCCACCTGGCTTCCTGAATGGACTTCCGGTACTCTGTAATTGGTATCGGCGAGTACCGAAAAAAAATTATACCGGTATCAATGTAAACTTTTATTGACTGTACAGATTGGCAAAAAAAAACAAAAAACAACTTACCCTCTGGCCATTTACAGCGTCTGTATCATATAGATATACATATACACAGTCCTTCTCCGGATCGACATCCAACCGTACTACCTCACCCTTGGCTAGCATTTCATTTACAAAGTCGTTCCAGGAGACTTCTACATTTTGGTTCATCCCAGTCAGGAACTTGATCAGTATACCCATCAAAACGATGCCAAGAAATTGCCGAAATAAGCTGACCGCTGCACTTTTATTATTCTTGCCATCTAAGAAACAAAGAGTACAATTAGTGATAAGCACCACATGTGACTGAAGCCGCTTGTGTGTTCTACCATTGGCAGCAAATTGCAGCATCCTTGTGGCACACGAGGCGTCACTGTTGTCACTATTTAGTAATTCATCTAAAAGCAGATGAGAACAAATAGGGAACGCTGTCCACTCCAGTTGTCAAAAGGTAGGGAGACTGGATGGATCCTATGCATTTTGTAAACATTAATTTGATTGTGTGTGTCTGTCAGCGTTTTTGGGGGCCCGTTTACACTAGTACAGTGCGTAATCGTACAGTCCCGTGCGACTAACGCGCTGTACCATGCAAAATTGCACCTAACGCGAATTCTGGTGTGGGAGGTGTGTTGCATGGCCATTCATTCGGACCACAGTTCGATCGCCCGCACCGGAACGCTTGCTACCGCAATGCCGTGTGTTCCAGTGCAGTGCGACTTGGGTCACGACTTAAAAGGAGAACTATGAGGCGAGTGATTTTCACTCAACCTCGTAGTTCGAGCCGACGTGTGACAATGAAACTGTCACACGTCGGCTCAATAGATCAGGAAGTAAGTGAACACATACCGACGCTCACTCACTTCTCGATCCTGTCCCTGCAGAGAGCTGTGACTGTCACTCACGGCTCCCTGCAGGGATTCCCCCCTCCGATCCTCCAGTGCTGACTGGCAGGACGGGGGAGGGGTCGGGCACAGCTGGCTCTGCCTCTAGCTGGCAGAGGCAGCTGTCAATCACGCAGCTGGGTGGATGTCGACAGTAATGTCGGGATCCGTCCCGGCTGCGGCGTCTCAGTACACCCCGAGCTGTAGCTCGCGATATACTGAGCTTTGGGTCAGGGGAGGATGCTAGTATATGTCCTCCTGTGACCCTTAGGAGAACTATGTGGGAAAAACACTTACCTCATAGTTCTCCTTTAATGAACGAGGACAAATGTGGGTCCTGAGGTGACACAGGTTGAAGTATGGAAGTATGCGTTTGTAGATTGTCATTAATAAACAATCCTAAAGGTGTGTTTGGTGTTATGGTAAAGATACAGGTAAGAGCCCATTCACACCAGGGCAGCTGGGGATCAGCGCGGTTACCATGCTGATCTCAAAAGGAAGATTTTGGGAGTTTTTAACTGAGCTGATCAGTGCGGTTCCATTGAAAGATGTATGGAAACAGCACTGATCAGCGTGGCAAAAATAGTGCAGGGAGCAGTTCGGGTCACGTGGACCCGCCGGTCGCATGAACGGTTCCCATAGCAATGTACGGCATCGTTCATGTTGGCCGAACCGCCCCGGTGTGAACGGGGTCTAAAGGTCCGCTTTAAAAGCTGCCCCTGTCAATCAAACCAATCTGAAGAAAGTCTGCCCTCATACCGTCATCGTCAGGTGGCCGTCTCCGATTTGAATCGTCACTTTTGTTGTCTTGCCGCCTGGATTCAGTGTTATGGAAATAATGAATTCCCCCTAAAAGAGAGGCGTAGAGAAATGAAGTCGCTGTAGTCGCAGCTCGTTAGTTCATTACTTTTCATTGTTGAACTGTGATAGCCAAACTTCGGCCCTCCGGCTGTGGTGAAGCTACAAATCCCGTCTTGCCTGTGCCTCTGGGAGTCATGTCTGTGGCTGTCAGTCTTTCAAAGCCTCATGGGACTTGTAGTTCACCGACAGCCGGCGTACCGAGGTTGCCGACCTCTTGTTGTAGAAGAACCGACCTAGCAGCCTCCATAGCTGAACGGGATCTCTGATGATATGCGGCTTCAGGAAGAAGTTCGGTATTCCCTGACAGGCCGGGGTTATCCTTCTGCACAGCAGAGTCTGGAATACAAGGACACAGCAATGTAGTGAGGAGGAAAGAAACAACGACATTCAGACTCGGGCTAGAAGACGGGAAAAGAGACAAGGGAGAGCGTTCAGACACCCGTTGAAGGCGGTCAACACGGCATCGGATATTCACGGCGGCAATGAAAATCATCAGCCGGCAGTTCATCTTTAAAAAGGCGAGGCGAATGATTTCCACTCATCCTCATAGTCAGAGCCGACGTGTGACAATGAAACTGTCACACGTCGTCTCTATAGATCGGGAAGTGAGAGAACGCATACCGTCGCTCGCTCACTTCCCGATCATCTCCCTGCAGAGAGCTGTGACTGTCAGTCATCACCCCCTGCAGGGATTTACCCCTCTCCCCTGCTATCTCCGATCCTCTAGCGCTGACTGGAGGAACGGACGGGAAGGGGGCGGACACAGCTGGCTCTGCCTCTAGATTGACCGTGGGCTCTGCCCCCCAGTTCTCTTTAAGGGTCTGTTCACACCATATGCAGTGCGTTCCGGACGGAATGCACTGCATCGCGGCCGGCTTCCTTTTTTACCGGGCATTAGGGGGCGTGGCGGCCATTGAAGTGAATGGCGCTAAAGCCACGCCCTGCGGCCGCAATGCGATCGCCCGCACGGGATCACAGAGCACATTGTTCCTGCGGTCCGGTGCGTTCAAAATGCTTCGAGCACTATTTTGACTGCACCGCATTCCAGCTGTTGTCAGTGCATAAGCTGATTGGCTCCTTGCGCTGCTTCTTCCGCTCACACTTCAGCCCTGCTGTACAGGGACTGCAAGAGGCTGATACCGGGTCACATTCATGTACTTACACTATGTCACGCTGCTCTCTACTCCTATCAGCATGATCTTGTAAGCACATAAGCTGATTGGCTCCTTGTGTTGCTGATCCTTCTTCCCTCACATACCAGCCCTGCTGTACCGGGACTGCAAGAGGCCGACTGAAACCCTGACACAGCACATACAGGACTCAAAACCTGGACAGGTGGCAACCCTACTCCTCCCCAATCAGCTGCAGGCAGGACATTCCTATGTGTAACAAAGGGATGCCCAGGCCGCAGCTGATTGGAGGGGATGTGTCACAGACAGTTCTGCGCGGGCTCGCACACAGTTTCTCGCGGGATGACGTTATTTTTGTCCTTATTGAACGGATATAACAAAACGCTTCAAATATTCAACAGAGCGAAATGGCGCAAATAGGAAACGTTCACTGTCAGTGTTTATATAAAGTTACATTTACCTATAGAAAAAAAACACAAAGGGTTAAATGTGCATGTGAGAGACCCTGGAGGTCCGGGACAGTTGTCAGCCATTACGATGACAGGAACAGTCCTTCCTATGAATAATAAAGTGTTATCTGTTTCCAGCAATGAGCCCCCATACCTGCCCCAGGCTGCTCTGTGTAACTTTACTCCGGACCAGCAGCCGCCGGATACGCGTCAGGCAGAGGTGGCGCCCCCGCAAGCCGAGCAGTAAGGTGCCCATCGCCTGGGCTCGCCGATCACTCCAGCCCGAGGCTTTACTGCGGCCCACCGCGATAAGACTTCCCGTCCGCTCCTACACCGTGCTGTGTCTACAGCCCGCCCACCAACAAACACAGCCCAGCCTCCATCTCCAGCCAATGGCTGCCCGTGGCTTTGACCCTAGAGGTGACATTGTATAACCGCCTTACGTCACCGATATCGTGACAGGCGACATTTCCCATAAGAGGTCGCAGCAGCATGTTTTCAGTGAAGTCTTCATTCGCCGAGTGTAGCTGGTTTGGAAAGGGGTTTTTTGAATATGTTTACATGCTTCCAGCATAGCTGATCATCTGTATAAATCCAAACAAATGTCTGTCAGGAGTTTATTAAATGATTCATTTATTTGAATGGGCCGGCAGCGCACCAGATCGCACCATTCAGATGCGCCATTGTTTTGCAGCGCTCATGCATTGAGGTGCCGTTATGAATGAGTCGCACCGCGTTGCAACTCGAGCAACGCGCGTTAAGGTCCTCATACACTGGACGATTCTTATACGAGAATCGCAGGAAATCCCGCGATCAGTGTAAGGATGGCGCGCGACCATTTCTAATGTACGGTCGCACGACTTTTGTATATCGAGCATGTTGGAAAACCAGCCGAGAATCGTAAGATAAGGTTTTTAAGATGATCGAGAGATCACTGCCGAACGGGCCGGTGTGCGCACGCGTACACTGCCCGTTCAGCATTGTAGTCATCGGAAGCCCGCCCCTCAGTACGATCTGCCTGTCCAAGATGGGCAGCTCGTACGTTTTTTTAAGTACTTTACAACCCTCGCAAGACAAAAGTTTTGCGAGGGTTGTAAAGTGTATGGCCACCTTCAGCTTGGCATGACTGTGAACGGGCCCTTGAAGGGGAACTAAGGCTGGGCACACACCTTACAACCATCGCAAGACTTTTGCCTTGCGATGATTGTAAGGTAATTTGAAAAAAACGTACGATCTGCCTATCTTGAACAGGCAGATCGTACTTGCGATGATCGCAAGCCACGCCCCCCTGAGGGGCGGGCTTCCGATGACCGCAATGCCGAACGGGCAGTGTGCGCTTGCGCACACTGGCCCGTCCGGCTTTTATCTTACGAACATGCTACACACCCGCCGAACATCGTACGATGCTCGGCGGGTTTTGGAACATGTTCCTAAGATAAAAGTCATGTGACCTTACAGTAGTAGAGGTCGCACGGCTTCCACACACCTTACAATAATCGTACGATCGCGGGACTTCCCGCGATTATCGTACGATTATCGCAAGGTGTGTGGGCACCTTAAACTTACCTTCCATCGCTCACTCGCTGGGCGCCGCCATCTTCACCCAGACTTCTTCCGGGTACGGGGTCTTCAGCCGTCTTGAATGATGCAGCTTCCACGATTGTGCATGGAATTTATTGCAGCACTGAGGTGTGCCGAGAATGTACACTGAGCTGTGCATGTGCACAGGAGTTATTCAACTTGGCACCAGGAGGTGTGCTGAGGATGTACACTAAGCTGCGCATGCGCACAAGATGTATTCAGTCCTGCACCACTGAAGTATGCTGAGGATGTACTCTGAGATGTGCATGCGCACAAGAGTTATTCAATCCTGCACCACCGAAGTATGCTGAGGATTACACTTAGCTGCGCATGCGCACAAGAGTTATTCAATCCTGCACCACCGAAGTATGCTGAGGATGTACACTGAGCTGCACATGCGCACAAGAGTTATTCAATCCTGCACCACTGAAGTATGCTGAGGATGCACAGTGAGCTGTGCGTGAGCACGGGAGGTATTCAGTCTCAACCACCAAGGTGTGCCAGGAATGTACACTAAGCTGTGCACGCGCACGGGATGTATTCAGTCCTGCACCCCCGCAGTATGCTGAGGATGTACACAGCTGCGCATGTGCACGAGAATGATTTAATCCAGTAACACCAAGTTGTGCCCATATGAACAAGAGGTATTCAATCCGATACCATGAGGTGTGCTGAGACTGTACACTGAGCTGTGCATGCGCACAAGAGCTAGTCAATCCTGCACCACTGAGGTGTGCTCAGGATATACACTCAGCTGCCCATGCACACAAGAGGTATTTAATCCGGCACCACTGAGGTGTGCTGAAAATGTACACTGAGCTGTGCATGCGCACAAGAGGTAGTCAGTCCTCCACCACTGAGGTTAGCTGAGAATGTACACTGAGCTGTGCAAGCACACAGGAGTTATCCAACCTGGCATCTTCATGTTGTGCTGAGAATGTAGACTGAGCTGTGCATGCGCACAAGAGGTAGTTAGAGGGCCTGCTCCCAACCTTCACTTCTTTTCCACTTTAAAACTGAACACTGGGAGAGAAAAATGAGGCTTGCAGTGGGGCTGTCCCAGCATTCTGAGGGTGTAATGCTTGTTTTGTCTAGGGGAAACATAAGTATATGATATCTTCCTCCTCTCTCCCGTAGGCTTCCTCCCGGCTGCACCACTTGTCCCGCAAAGTCACTTCACTGCTCCGTTGGTCACAAACAGTCCTGCATTGTAAGGGAGGTCACAGAGGGCCCTCTCACATCCTCAGTGGAGAGAAGAGCGCCGGCTGTGGGGGAAGTCATGGATAAGGTAAGTATAGTTCCTTTTTTTGCTAGATGAAACAAGCATTTTTATTTTTCCCAGATTTAAAGCAGACCTTTCCCCTACCCACCCACTTAACTTAATTGCCCCCCTACCCCCCTGTTCTCTCATAACTGGACATTCATTTTTTTTTTACATTTCCTCCCCCAAATACCTTTCTCCTTTGGACCCTTTCCGACACTTCCCGGGATTCTCCACTAGGCAATAATTAGGTGCCATTCGCCTGCAGCCTCCTGGAATGCTGACGTCACGCATCCCAAGAGGCCCTGGAGTTGTCTACAGTGCATGCACCACTGTGCATCCCCAGGGGACCAGCTGTCTTCTCTGGTTCTTGCAGCTGACCCCTTGGTGATGCGCTGTGGCGCATGTGATTTATCAGGGGGGCGGGTGCAAGATCCGTGGAGACAGCCACCCCACCGATGACATAAGTATAGAAGATGACAGCACAGAACTCAGTGCATGGTGGTGAATAGCAGAGGATAATGCTGAATCCGCTGGGCATGCGAGTATGTCATTCAGGCTCACCCAATGAACCAGGTACGTGGGAATTAACAAAACATAAGGGGAGGGGGGAGTTCCTCTTTGAGCTTTCATGACAGGGGTGCTGTTGCAAGAAGTGAAAACATACTGGGGGGAATTTATCAAAACTGGAGCAGACAAAATCTGGAGCAGCTGTGCATAGCAACCAATCAGCATCTCATTTTCAAATCTTAACTGAACAAACTAAAAAGAGTAGCTAATTGGTTGCCATGGACAACTGCTCCAGATTTTGTCTGCTCCAGTTTTGATAAATGCCCCTCATTTAATATACTAGTAGGATCAACATGTCATATATCCCCATGTAAGATAAGCTTATGGTCAACAAAAAGGAAACAAGGTGAAAATAGATGAAAAGGTTATATTAACGTGGAACTAAAGTCCTGTCCTGAGTTTTATTCCCACCAAGGGTGTCCACGTGGGGTTTGTATATGCTTCTATTGTCTGGGTGGCTTTCCTCCTGCAGTACAAAGAAATTCTAGAGGGTTATTTAGCTTTTACACAAATTTTGCCATACAGTGTGATTGTGGAAAACGGACCAGCATTAAAGTCTATATAAACCCTAACAACAAACGTCTCTTAATTGCTCCCTTTGTATCTGGTACATATATCATTGAGAACATTTTTATCTGTTCAGTCTGTTTATTCTACTAGAAATCCAGTGGGCTCTTACTTTTTGTAGTGAGTTTATAATGCTGTATTAAAATCTCAAGAGAGAGGGTGACCACTATGCCGCTCATAGGGGGGCCAGGTAGGTGGAACATAAGCCCACACCCTTCCTGGCAACTCCTCCCAGTGCCGATCAACAATAGGTTAGGGTGCTTTGGGGAAACCTCCTTTTTGGGAGTAACCCCCCTAAAGAACCCCCCTTCCATGGTTGAAGGGTATGTGGGCTCTTAACATTTTGTAGTTAGCTTACAATGCTGTACTAAAATCTAAAGGAAAGGATGACCACCTACTTGCCCCTCATTGGGGTCCAGGTAGATGAAGCATAAGTCCCCCACTCTTGCTGTCCTCACTCTTGCTGGCAACCCCTCCAGGTCACCATGAGTGCCAAAGAGCCCAGTGCTGGTCAGCATTAGGCTAGGGTGCTCTGGGGAGACCCACTTTTTTGGCGGAACCCCTCATTAAGGACCCCCATGGTTGAAGGGCATGTGGGCTCTTATAATATTTTGCAGTAAGCTTACAATGCTGTATTAAAATCTTAAGGGAAAGGGTGACCTACTTGCCCCTCATTGGGGGAGGCAGGTAGGTGGAACATAAGCCCCCCACCAGCTGGCAACTCCTACTGGTCATCAGGGGTGCCAAAGAGCCCAGTGCTGGTTAGTATTAGAGAGGAGTGCTTTGGGGAGACACACTTTTTTTGAAGGGCATTTGGGCTGGTTTCAACTTAGTAGGGGAGCTGCACACTCACCTTTCACTTTCTATGGAGATACCAGCCTGCATGCATGGTGTGGCAGG